GGAAGGAAGGAAGGAAGGAAGGAAGGAAGGAAGGAAGGAAGGAAGGAAGGAAGGAAGGGAGGGAAGGGAGGGAAAGAAAGAGTAACTAACCAGAAGCCACGATTTAAAAATAAGACCAGAGTCTATCATGGGTTTCAAACCTTGGGGTGTGACTTCACATGGGGTCGCTTAACTGACTGTGAGGTGATAAAAGTCCTGGCAAAAGTGAAAGATTTCTGAACATACAAGCAAGCAAAAGTAAATTCAAAAGCAAACCTTCAATGAGCCTGAGCTGCTCCTGGCAGCACTCACCCAGGCTGCGTTGCACATTGTCCCTGCAGCCTTACACACCCATTCTCAACACGCCCACTTAGCGCCGTGAGCGCTCTCATACCCGGCAATGCCGACAAAGCCTGCCTGAACGCCCTTGGCTTGGGCTGCAGGCCACTGTGTGCTGTGGACAGCAGTGCTCTCACTGAGGACACAAAGGTGTCTTCTCTCAGAGGAACGCCTGGGCTTAATTTCATAAAACAAAGACTTGCGTTGTTTTCCTATCACGGTTCCTCAGCATGTAGCTGTCACATTAGTGTATCTTTGGATTGGGTTGTGTTTGGATAAACTTGTTAAATAAATTACAGTTTGGGATTAGGGCAGGATTTTCAATAATTTCTGAAGGTCTTTAAGCATACTTCTGCCTTTTTGCACATAATTTATGTAAAGTGGCATTCCAGGAATGGTGATTATAAATTAAAAATATCGATAACTTGAAAAGTGACAATGCTCTGCATCTTCTAGTCTTCAGCCAAGGTTTAATTATTTATGTGCATACGTGTGTTATGTGTGTCTGTACATGTTCATAATGGTGTTCATGCAAGCACAGACGTCAATGTTGGATGTCTTTCTCGATCACTCTTCAGCGTGTGCTCTGACACAGGTTCTCTCACTGAACCTGGCTGGAGCTCAGTGATTTGGTTAGGTTGCTGGCTAATGAGCTCCACGGATCCTTGGGTCCCTGCTATCCTCCCCACATTGGGATTACCAAAATGAACTGCCACGCCCAGCTGCTTATGTAGGTGCTGAGGATCTCCCCATGTGTGGCAGGGACTTACCAACACTCCCCAGCCCCAAGACTTAACTCTGTTTATTGTATGGGTCAGTATGCAAACTAGCATTTGTCTTTAATACATGGTGAAACTGTATGTCTATCAAAGATATGTTCTTTAAATTTTTAAGGTTTATTTTTATTTTTAATTCTGTGTGTGTGAGAGAGAGGGAGAGAAAGAGAGAGATAGCATTTAGGCACGAAGATTTTTAAAAATCTTCAGGATTCATTACCAGCAAAAATTTGATTTGTATACACACACACATAAATGCATTCACACACTAACATTCATCAGATTAAAAAAAAAAAGCTTCTTGGTGAACAATGGTTGCAAGCAGCAAAATATTTAAGAAGCCCTAGCCTCTAGCAGTAATTCTGTGCGTCTCAAATGACCATGTATGAAACCTTCTAGATCATTCTCTCTGGACTCCATGTTCCTTCAGAAAAGGGTTAGTGACTTATCAAAGTCAGAGAAGTGAGAACAGGAAAAGCTACTTTGATAACCTATCCATTTCTTTCCCTTCCTGTGATGCCCTCTCTCTCTGCAGGGACGGGATGCTTGGATGTTTGCTGATCACATGGAGAGACTGGGGGAAGTGGATGCCACTGTGAACTCATCTGCCAGGTTCTGCCTACGGCAGGGGCCAGCTGGAAGCATGGGAAGAGGGCTCAGTGCAGCCCGGCTCTCAGGCTGCATTGTGTGGAGGTCCTCCAGCGCCAGGGCCCCTTTGAGACACTGTCAGAGAGCCCACGGCACAATTAACTTCAGAGCTGTGCCTCACTCAAGCAAAGGGCAGAGGAAGGTACAGCCCCGCCACCCAGACTCTTCTGACTACACATCGAGATATCCCAGCTGCAGCTTCCAAATTCACTCCTTGCCTTTACTCTATTATAACCAGGATTGCAAACATGCCTTGTGAATTTAAAGAGAAGCAAACAAACAAACTAGTGAATAACAAGAATAACAAGAAGGGTTTAGAGTCTATTCCACAGATAGCTGGAAGATATTGTAATGATATTACAATGCACAGAATCTGCCAGATGACCATGCGGCTGAAATGACTGATAATGGAATCCAAGTGTCATGCTGAGTTGTGGGCAGACGCAGGAAGGCAAGGGCTCTGACTGCCTGGTTTCCACTCACACTTGCTTTTAGGGTGAGGGAAGGCGGAACTCACCTGGAACACGGTCAAGAGTGCTTGTGGAAAGTTGTCAAAGGTGCTTCGCTTGGTTTGGGTTTCATCAAAATTAAACTTCCCACCAAACAGCTGCATCCCCAGCAGGGAGAAGATGATGATGAAGAGGAAAAGCAGCAACAGCAGCGAAGCAATGGACTTCATGGAGTTTAACAGGGATGCCACCAAGTTGCTCAGGGAAGTCCAGTGCCTAAAAGTCAAGGGGAGCCGGTAAGAGTCCCTGAGGGAGAAGGAAAGCATCCCCTGGTCAGGGAGGGAACCACTGAGCAAACATCAGCTCGATGCCCACATCTTTACCTGGTCACTTTGAAGATCCTCAGGAGGCGCACACACCGGAACACAGAGACCCCCAGGGGGGACATGAGCTCCAGCTCCACCAGGATGGTTTCAGTGATCCCCCCACACACCACAAAGCAATCAAAGCGGTTGAAGAGGGAGACAAAGTATGCCTGGAGGCCCAGGCTGTACATCTTCACCAGCATCTCACAGGTGAACAGGGCCAACAGGACTTTGTTCGCAATATCTGGAAAGACAAAGGGCAGGCATGCTTCGAGTCGCCTTCTGGCTCGTCATCTCTCCCGCCACCTCCCTTCCATCACTGCCCACTGGAGGCCACAGCCCAGTCCTACTGCTGCACTAGCCACAGGGATCACCCTGACTGTTCTTGGCCACTCCCCAGGTGTGAGTCTGTCGCAGTTACTTGGTTTCTCTGAGATTCAATTTCACTGACCATAAAATGGTAGGGACATGGATCTCTGAACCCTCTCAACACTGGGTTCTTAAGATTGTGCATTAAGGGCTGGAGAGATGGCTCAGTGGTCAAGAGCACTGGCGGCTCTTCCAGAGGTCCTGAGTTCAATTCCAGCAACCGTATGGTGGCTCACAACCATCTATAACGAGATCTGGCGCCCTCTTCTGGCCTACAGGTGTACATGCAGGCAGAACACTGTATAACAATAAATAAATAAATCTTAAAAAAAAAATACCTAATTCACCATGTTCTGGCCCCATAACTTAGTTAAAAAAAAAAAGATTGTGCATTAAGATCATACACTTCCCCATACACAAAGAGAAAATACACACATACAAACAAGGGCCATTGGTGTGTGGCCACTTGTGGCACCCACCTGTCCGTTCTTAGTTTTATTTGTTTGTTCTCTCTGCGGATGGGGAAGTGTGTATGTGTGGTTCATGAACACATGTGTGTAGAGATGACCATTTCCCCGGGCCAGATGAAGATGTCTCTGCCTTATTCCCTTGAGGCATGGCCTCTCACTAAACCCAAGCTATTCCCAGCAACCCTCATGTCTCTCTCTGTGTACCCCATGGAGCTGGGGTTTCAGATGTACATTTCCACGCCTAGCTTTTCACGTGGGTGATCTGGGGGTCTGAAGTCAGTTCTTCACACTTAGATAGCAGGCACTTGACCTACTACGCCATTTCCAAAGTCCCAAAGCCATTTTTTAGTAGTAAACAACAACAACAAAAAACCCAATGGCACATAGGCTGAGAGTAGCAGAGGCAAATATATAGGAAGACAGCTCAAGAGTTCAAAGCTATCCTGTCTAGAATGGGCTCTTTTGGAGATGATCTTCACATACCCCAATTCCAGCCACTCAAAGTAGAAGGATCAAAATCATTCACCAAAAACACTGAAGTGGGGATAACTCTTCCAATGTGGCAGGGAGAAGGGCCTATCAACTCCCAAATTCCTGGGTCCTGGGCTCTGTCAAGGTTGGGCATAAGCTAGCTGACAATGCTGCTCCAGGGCCTACCTCATCTGAATGGCTCTGCTGCCTCCTGAGTTGGTCCTAACTAGGATGTCCCTACTACCCCATTACAGCACAGCTGGATGGCACAGGCCAGTGATTAGCTACAAGGGTCTCAAAATCAGAACAGGAGAAGAACACTTTGCAGCCATACCTTGGATCTGTGTCAGCCAGTCTGGCTGATTGTAGTGCTCAGAAGAAATAGTTAGGGTGTTGAGAAACACCAGGACGATCACCAGCCAGTAAAACGTGACAGACTTCACAGCAGCCCGGCACCTCCTGCGACTGAACCGGTTCCATCGACGCCAGCGTCGGCTGAAAAACAAGCAGTCATTGCTCCCTAGGCCAGGGGCAAGTATAGTATCCAGAGGCCTGTGAGCTTCACTGAGTAATAAAAGTTCAGACCATGTGGTTTAGGAAAGAAAGACATGGACCACCAGCACAGAAGTGAACAGAACCCATGATGCAAATTGATAGACTTAACATACAGCTCTAAAAAGTGTAACCGTGACTGAATCGTGCTATCACTTCTCCTCTGGTGGCTATAAATAACTCCAGGATCTGACATACGCAGCCTGCAAGTGGGTGACAGAATCTAGACATCCACAGACTCATGAGCAGATTCAAGACTGCACGGGCACACACACGAAGCTCATATGGGGACCATGTGGCATGTGATCTGCTGAGGGCAGTGGCACAGAACCCCTCAGCCTACTGCATGCATCTTATGGAGGGTCTTAATCGTTATATAGAAGTTACTAGGCAGCAGAGCAACCCAAGCCCATAGCTCTCTTTAGGAAAGCTTTTGATCCTTTCTCACATCTCTGGTGTTCCTCTGGTGCCTCGTAGGTGTGGAAGCTGAGTGGGACATGTGTCTTCATGCTGAGTCATCAGGTGCCCTTTCTAACTAGCGATGCTCAAAATATACCTTTAGGAGAACATCCAATATTGAATCGTGTTTTCATAAAAATAAAATGAGCAGAACCAAACAGACACGTGACATGTCCCCACCCACCTTCCGTCTCTGTTTGTAATTAAGGAAAGACATTTCTCCCTCTGCCTGTCTCCTTTTGGAAAACACTCCCTATCTCCTTGCCACAAGCGGACAGCTAGGCACCACAGACTGCTCTTCAGTAACTGGGGACCCAGGGAAGAACCAGCCAGGCTGCAAAGTCTCCTCTCTCTGGCTGTGCTGCCTCGTGTCCAGGAAGAGGGCACTTCCTCTAGAGGTGTGACGAAGGAGGAAACTCTAGGCTGCCCCAGTGTGACCCCGCCGACTCGGCTTTGTTGCTATGCTAAACACATGAACCCTGAAAGCCAGCGAAGGAGGAGGCAATGTGGCGGCTTCACACAGACCTGGGTGCAGCAGGTTGTACTTTGTAGTTATTCTGCTCTACAGTTTCCAGTGGAACAAATGGCACCTAGGAACATGACAAGCAGCACAGACAACTCTGCTGAGGGCTCTTAACGCCTCAAAGCTGAGTTTCCTGGGACCCATGATCCCACACGCCCAAGTAAGGTGGTCCCAAAAGGTCTATTTTGTACAGTAGTGACAAGGTACAAGTGACTTCAACATCCAGGAGACCTCTGTGCCGTATCCTCTGGAAACACGCAGCACCACCAGCCTGGCTCTCCTGGGCTTGATTGTGTGTGGGTGTCAGGAAGCCTGCATCCTGAACACTGTAGGTGTCTGGTGCTGGTAAATGGAGATACGAAAGGCACCGTTCCAGGGCTATTGGCCTGGATAGGCATGGAGGGTTCTGGGGAAACACCAACTGCAAATTCATACCATGCCCAGTCCCAGATTCTAGAGAAGGGCACCTAAGTGATCTTTGGAGGAGCCAGAGAAGGCCTCTCTACAAAGCAAGATCTGGGCTGAGCTTCAATGGCTAAGAGCTTTGCCAAGGCAGGCGGAAGTCTCCCTAGACTACAGGAGACTTCAGGCCAAAGACCCTGGAGGCAAAGGCACCAAGAAAAGACACCTACGAAGACAGAATAGCTCGATATGGCTACAGAGTGGGGGAGAATTTCAGGAGGATGAGAGGCAGGTGCCAAGTTAGGAAGCCTTTCTATAGTCTCTTGTAATAGAGACAACTCTTTCATTTTACTCAAAGTTGGGTTGAGATATAATTTTACATGCAACAAGTTTAGTATTTTTAAGTTTGTGTTTGGACAGAATATAGAACTTTGTCAGTCATACAAGTTTGTTCATGGCCCCATCCCCAGCTCGATATGACTGGTCTGTCTTCTGCGCCCATTGCTCTGTCTCAGCTACAGTGCCGTAATGCCAGAACCATGATGTGTACTCTTTGGAGGCTTTTTGTTGTTGTTCTTGTCCCAAATGCTTTTGAGATCCATCAGTATTGCTACATTATCGGCAACTGAAGAACACATTATTGTGTGTGCACACTGCGCGTGTGTGATGGGTGCACACGCTGTGCCACCTGTGGCGACAGGAGACAACTTTGTTGAGTTGGTTCTCCTCCACCTTTCTGCGTGTTCTAGGGACAAACTCTCGCTTACACAGTCACCTGGCTTACACGGCAAGTACCATTTTTTCTTCTTCTTCTTCTTCTTCCTGTCACTGAAAAGTAGTGCACCACATGGATAAGTCTCACCTGGTCTGTTCATTTTGCCATCAGATGGGCAGTTAGGTTATTTCTAGTTTAAAGTAATTATGAATAAACCCACTATAAACATATATAACTTTTATATATATGTATCTTTCTCTTACACAAATACCTTAGAATTGGAATTGCTGGGTCATATCATTAATGTACCTTTGTAAGAAACTAGTAAGTGCTTTTTTGAAATAATCTTGTCATTTAACATGCCTGCCAGCACTGCACAAAAATACCCATCAACCTCCTCATCAGAAGCTGCTATCAGCAGATATTTGAATCTGATCAACTTATATCAATATGTAATGATATCAAATTATGGTTTTAACTTGCAGTTTCCTAATAAAACATGTTCATTTCACGTGCTCATATATGTACGTATATCTATCTATTATGCATTTCTCCTCTTCATGACCTGCCTACTAGAACCTTCTTTCTACTTTTATAGGGTTGTTTTAGCATTGATACTGTCTTTAGATATTATTCTTTCTATATTAGATACTAGTCTTTTTATTTAAAAAAGTTGCAAATATGTTTATCAAGTCTGTGGCTTATTGTTTTTATAATAAAATAAAGTTAGGAGCTTTGATTCTTACAGGGATCAAGTTATCAATTTTTTTTTCTAATACACATAACGTATTGGACAATGAACTTGAAAAAAATCAGTGTCTAACCCATGGAAACCATGCCTTTTCTCCTGTTTTCTTCTCGAGTTTCTATGGTTTTATTATTGGTTTTATGACTGCATGCAACAGGAAAATGTCTTTAAGTGAAAAAGAACACACAGGGAAAGTACACAAAATGCAGGCATGTGGTTCAAGGAGACTCATAAAATGAGCATGTAATCTGCATCCAAGTCAAGAAACAGAACTCTACTCGGACTCTTAGATGGCCTCTTGCACCTTCTTTTATGGCAGGTCTTTCTGAGAGGTGACCGGAGTGTTGAAGAGGCAGAATGTTGTTCATGTGTCGCTGTGCTCTGTTGGCTTAAGTGCTGATGTTCCTGTTCTGCTTCCCCAAGGCAGGACTGTAGTACTTAAATGCCTGACTGAAATTTGGGAATCCACATTTAAACTCAAGTCTTGACAAATTCTATGTAAAAGTTAGACGTTGGGGGTTGGTCTGATGCTTGTATTTGACGTTAATTACTGGCCCAAACAAGATCTGGTTACTTTCTGGATACACCTATCCTTGTTGTGTAGACTTGCCTTAGACATTCTTCCTGATCAGTTGGTTAAAAGGCCTAAAACCTGGACAAGACACAATGGGGTAGGCCTGGCTAAGGTTTCTGGGCTTTGGGTTCAAGAGAATCATGGAAGACAGACAAATAGAAAGAAAGGAGAAAGGAGGACTCCATGATGGGTTATTGTGAAGAAGAAACCATGTAGGCTGGGAGGATGGACTCCGAGGATGGTGCAGATGGAGAAATACACCAAATATAAGCAAGTATTCATAAGATTAGGAATGGAAGGGAGCTCAGATAAGGATGGCTAAGACAGATGGCATTGGACGGAGGCTGGGAGGTGGATGGGGAGGTTATTGAGACAGCATAGGTAGAAATATCTGCCCAGCCCAAAGTAAATAGGCAATTATAAAATCTAACAGGTGTCTGTGTCTTATTATTTGTGATAATAGGTTAAATAATACCATTGCAATAATTATAGGGCTAATAATAGATAATATATAGCCAACGCCTACCTTTTAATTTACTACAACAGTTAGAACTCAAAATATAACATAAAAGAAAACCAATTCAAGTTCTCAAGGGAGGGGGTGGGGAGAAAAAAAAGAGACGAACTGACCTGAGTTTGGATTTCGAGATGGCTTGGCTGAAAAGGAAGAAAACAGTGTTAAGACTCCCATTTGGAAGGCTTGAGTACATGCTCCATCGCTGAAGCAGAGATGGCTCAAGCCATGCACAGAAGCCAGAACTCTGGTCCCCCATGGCTACAACCAGCCAGCTCAGTTAAGGGCAGAGCAGATGTCAAGGTGCTAAGAGTGGGCCAGGAGGTGGGCAGGGCACCCTTGCGGGCTCAGGCAGGTGAGAACTCAGATTTCTAGGATGGTTCTGGAAATAGCACAGAAATAGAGTCCTTCCTCTCCCTCCAGTGAAAGCCAGCAGGACCTCTGTGGCCTGCAACCCTCATGTCAACAGTAGCAACTGCCACTCCTGCTAGAATGGGACCCTGGCTCCCCTGGTCACTGAATGGGTGAGGATGGAGGCACAGCATGCCTTGCGAAGCCCAGTGTTCTCATCTGTAAAGTGGGGACAGCAAATCCATCCCAGCCCACCTCATGTCAAAGAGAGGGCAGAGCAGGAGAACAGAGCAAAACCACTCCATGAGCCACTGAGGTATTACATAGTAGCGTGTCATTTTTATGAAACTCTCCCCCAAATGAGGCTGAGCTCTCCTAAAAATGACACCTGCACTTTACAGGAATAAGAAAGGATTCAAGCAGGAAGCAAACAAATCAAAACAGCACAGGGCTCCCCAAAGCAGGCAGTTCTTAGCACATTCTGCATTGCTGCCCCCAAACCCTGTTACTGCAGCCCAGTCATCTAGAGAAAAGCCTGGGAGCCTTAATGGGAGGGTGTCCCACGTGGTTAGGAAAGGGTAGTGCACACACAGCTCTAGAATAAGGAGACATGAGCAGAGAGGGCAGGGCCTCCAGATCCAGCTGCTGGGAACGAGGTTGGAAGATCCCATGGGTGAAGGAAAATTTAAGTATGTGGCACATTCTGGTCAGCAGTTCTGCCATTCAAGCCCTTCTTTCAAAGCGCAGATACCAAACCCAGCTGGAAGGAGAATTCAGCCTTTACCCCCACCGCCGACACCCAGAGGGACCAGTCTTGGCCGCGCCTCTTCTTTTCCACCAGCACCTAATGAACACAGCAGGTGTCTGGGTTAAGTAGCACACTTCTGGGCTCTGCCTTAGTAGGACAACTTCGTAGGCAGAGGCATGTAAGACACTGGGGGTACCCTAACAGGCCTGGTACAGGAGGAGGGGTACCAAATGGATGGAGGCAGCCTGTTAGAGCCCAGCTGATCTCCAACCAGAGCCCTAGGACTCCGCTGCCCTCTGGGTGTATCTTCTCGGCACCAGCATCTCTAAAATGACAGGTTGGGTAAAGAGGGCAAGCAGCCTCCACACTCACCAGAGGCTTCCACAGCATCCCTGGGTCTCGCCTTCACCACTTACATTCTCTGTGTTCACAGATTCAGTCTCACTGGTGGGCATGCTAGCTGTGGGGAGAAGAAAAGGCTTTAGACAGCAGGCTGTGGCATGAACTGCCAGAGGTTGGGCCAGATGCAGACTCTCAGGAACCAGGAAGGAGAGCAAAGAGGCCTACCAGCAGCACCAGGCTGAGCAGCCAGGCCCCTTTACTCCCTGTGGGCCCTTGCTTCCAGTAGCTGCAGGGAAAGCCAACATCACCTTCAGGTGACAATTCTGGTGGCCCAGATGCTTTGCAAGAAGTGAAGCTAGGGTGCCACACTGAATAGAGGCACCAGGCTTGGCACAGTTTTATTCTCCCCATCTCAGTAGTACAGAGAAGGTACATAAACACCTCAGTATGGCAATGTTTCTACTACCCACTCCTGCGCATCAGGGCTTAGGTCACAGCTCACATAAAAGTCTTTACAGCACACCAAAGATAAGCTATTGCAGTCAGAGAAGGCAATACACGAAGACGTCATACACAAAGTCCTCTCCACAGCTTATGAGCTTCACTTAGTCTGAGGCAGTAAGGTCAACATGCAAAAGGTGCCTCCCAAATAAGCCAGCAATAAGGAGCTAGGAAGAAAATGGTCTTGAAGCTATGAGCAGGTGAGGGCTCTTGCCAACCACTGTGGAGGGCAGGGCGGACTTCAGTCCCAGGTCTATGATCCCAGAGCCCCGTGTCCATGCCAGGATCCCCAGAAGAGGCAAGATTGTAAAAATTAACCTCCTAGTGCCTGGAGGCCCAATGTCTGACATGTGGCACCTGGAAGGTGAGGGTCAGGTAGCCACCTCAGGGGTCTGTATAGAATGCTCTACCAAGATGGCTGATTATTCCAGGGGCAGAGGTGGAGCTGAGGAAACTGGCGAAGCCACCTAAACACACGCACATCTTCTTCCTGAGCCAGGATCCCAGTGAGGGGGCGTTCAGAACCTTACACTACCCACATGAAAATCTTGCTCCTGTGAGCAGGCAGTTCCCATGAGCAAGGACACCTCAAATTTCATCTGCAAAACCTGAGAGCTGTGCCTGTAGAGCTGTGGTGGACATCGGAGTCCCAGCGGAGACTGGAAGTGTTATTGTTCTTTCTACGAGCTTTGTGGCTTCCATCCCTGCTGAGGAGAGAGGTAAAGCTCCGGGCAAGGGTGAAGGAACTTGACTCAGACCCAGAGGTCAGAGAGTCATGTTTTCCCTGAGCCCTTTCCTTTTGTGAAATTCAGAAGCTGAGCTTGCCCCTGTGGGAGGCTTAGCAGCTACATCCTGGCACATTCAGAGGCACAGGCTTCAGAAGCAAAGGCCAAATGAGTAGAAGCACAGGATGATTACACTCTCGGGACTCTCCTGTTCCTCCATCCTTGAATTCAAAGCAACCGACCATCCCCTTTTGCACCCATGGAAAAAAAACCACAGAAAGAAGCAAATCAGGAAGCCTCGTCATCTGACAGAAGAACTCCTTTCAATAAGGCACCCATTAAGACACCCACGCAGGCACGCATTCAGGCACGCATGCACAGCTCTCTTCTCCTGGTCTGTCCCATGCTTCTGTCTGTACTATTAGGGTGTAAAGGTCAATGAACTGCTTGCTGCAGGTTGCACCGCAGAAACAAGCTGACGAGTGCCACATTGGAAACTCTTTTCAGATCCTCCCGGGAGTCGCTCTTTTTGTGACCTGGGGTAGTGGTTTCTGAGGCTCAGGTCGCTTAACACATGCATTCAGGGGAATCCCCAGGCTCTGATCTGCCCTGCTCTTCCTGGAGACATCCCACCTCTCTTTGAACTTCAGTTTCCTAATGATAAAATGGCTGTGTGAACCACAGATTCAGAGCCATTTCTGTCTGTATTAAGTAACTCACAATTTTCATATTTGTCATACCGAAACATCACTATTTTTCAAAAGTAAACGTCTGAGCAGATGAAATCTTGTGGCCTCTACTCTTTGGAGTTTTGACTCATGCTGTCATCAGCACATTTTGTTGCTCTTCATTCCTATAGCTTCATTTCCCAAATAATCTGATGGAAACAGGTAAGTGACAGACAGCCCATGAAAGGGGACACATCGCTTTGCATTTCTGGCTCTATGCCAGTTATCAGTGAGTGACTCTTGCTAGCTGCTCCCCAAGGATGAGCAGAGAGAAAGGCAGGAAATGAACTCTCACACCTTTGAATGGCAGCCAACACTGGGAACTGTGTGGCCCTGAGGCCAGGCTGCAAAGAGGTGAGGAGGACTCCCTGCTCACTGAGATTCTTCCCTTCATTCTCAGTAGGACAATGCCTGAAAGTAGTGTGTGCTTATCCTAAGTTTAACCTACATCCGTGGCCTGGCTTCACTCAGCCTCCATATCGTCATCTGCATGGTTAAGAGTACCTGCCTCGGGGCTGGATTGAGCAGGACAAGGCTCGCCAGGTGTCAGTTCTAGCCCCAAATCATGAGCAAGGTGCCCAAGCACAAACTCTGCCAGTTGTATCAGGAAAATTTTCCAGAGGCTCCTTGAAAGCAAAGCACCCAATTTGGATCATTTTACCCACACCACTGTCAGTACTGTCCAGAAGTAGCTAGTGTGAACAGCCAAATGTATCTCTGAATCAGCTTGGGCTACCTCTCTCTCTCCACACACACACACACACACATACACACACACACACACACACACACACACACACACACACACACACACATCTCCCTTAGTCCCCAAAGCATCTCATCTGCATTTAAAAACAAGCAGGACAGAAGACTCCATCAGCGGTGAAGAGGCTGAAAGTAGGCGAGAGTAGACAGCAGACCCCATGATTGCTCGGATGACCAAGCAGATGACTTGCCAACAGGGACACACAGCTCCAATGCTGAGCACTCCCCTCCGTCTCACCTGGCACTCATCTCTGTCCCTCATACCATGTGTGCACCTTCAGTACAGATGCTCACATAGACTGGCATGCGTGCAGGGCTGGTACTCTACAGATAAAAACCCTCCCAGACTGAGTCTACCACCCACAGGTACAGAGGCCATGTGTACAGACCACACCCAGAAGATCAGCCTAGCACCTGGAGACAGTGGCAAGCTGTACTGACAACTCTTGGAATTTTATAAGAGTCAAAACAGGAAGAATTACAAAGACTCATAATGAGCCCTCAGGCAAGTGTCTGGGGACAGGTGCCTTTCTCCTAGGACCTCCATGGCATTATGGCTGAATGCCTTCCCTTCTCCCTCCAGCAGGAGTCAGTGTCTGGGCTTTGCTAGGGTGTAGGCCGACCTGTTAGAACCTCATGTTGTTTGCAGGTACAGTCAGCCTCTACAGGAACACACCAGGGCCATCTGCATAGGGAGGAAGCTACAAGTCCCTTTGTGCTTCAGGTACAGGACCTCTGCAGAGCACACCAGAAGCCCAAGGTGGGGGAAAGGAACTGGCAGGAAACTGTGTGCAGCTCTGTGTAAGGAGATGCTAGAAAAGCAGGTTAGCACATCCTGGCTGAGGCCTTGGTGACATAAACAGCCTAGGGCGGGCCCTATCTGGAGATACCCTCTGTGACAGGTCATCGGTTTTTCTTTTACGTCTAGGACTAGGGCTGTCTGCCACTGTGAATTGTAGCCCACAAAAATGAACAAAGGATGAACTTTTCTCAGGCTAGCTCAACACTTAGCATCTCCAACCGACATACAGCTATTTGCTCATCAACTTTCACTCTGCAGACAGCATGTTTCTTAACCTTATCCATCAGCCCTATGAATTCAGGAGCAGGCATACACACAGACACGCACACAAGCACATGTGTGCATACACACACGCGCACACACACACACACACACACACACACACACAATGAGTCTAAGCGTGGGCTCAATCAGGCGACACTTTGGAATGACATTCACCACTGAAAGACAGTGAGGTCAAAGACGCAAAAGAGAAGTCAGGAAAGCCTGGGGCTCAACCTCACATAACTAGGGCCATGTGTGTGTGTGTCTGTGCTTAGTTACCTGAGCGGCAGGACAGTGTCTCCTCCAGGTCACTTACGTCTGACCTGCTATCAGCAAGAAAAGAAACACCCACAGCTGTCTAGTTTCACTCCCAGCAGCTGACGGTAGGAGTCTCCTTACACGTTCCCAGCTCTGCGAGGAGACCAGGCCTGAACAGCACTGGGAAGTCACTGGCCCCCACCCTCTCGGGAAGTCGGGAGCCCTGCAGCCTGTTCGGGAGAGCTTGCATCCAAGTCCTCTCCAGGATTCACACCCAGGAAATAGAACACAACACGTGAGTGGCTCCTAAAGAGCCCAAGCCAGCCCCAGGAGATCCCCAGTCCTCCAGCCACAGCATCCCCAAAGGCGGCTTTTCATGGACCACACTGAGTGCCCTGCCCTTCAGAAACCTGTCACCACAGCAGCTGCTTGCACAGATGGCCTGGGATGCTGAGCTGAGTTTGCTTTTAAAATTATTTTATCTTCTAAAACGTGTGTGTGTGTATGTGTGTGTGTGTGTGTATGTATGTGTGTGTGTGTATAAGTGTAAATGTAGGCCACATGTATGCAGGTGGCCAGAAGAGGGCATTAGATGTCCTGGGGCTGGAGCCACAGGTGGGTGTGAGCACCATGTTGGTGCAGGGGACCAAAGCGCAGACCTCTGAAAGAGCAGTATGTGCACTTAGCTTATCATTGAGCCACCCCCACAGCCCCTTTATCTGTGCTTCTCAGTGTAAGCTTTCTCCCACACTTGGGGTCTCTCTCTCTGCTGATAAAGCTTCTCAAGGAAGTGGGGCAAGAGGGGAGGCTGAACACTCATCACTGGAAGAACTGGCTTTCCTTCCCAAGAGGCAAAGGGTCTGACCTCAAGCTCTTCCGTTTTCACATCATTTATATGACAATCATGACTAGTGCCACGATGTGACAAGCCTGATTGACCCCAAAGTCTCAGGTGGCCCCTGAAGGCATTGGCACATGCTTGTGCTAATATGCGCTGCTGACACAGGGTCAGAGATGTCTGTGAGACAGCCATCCTCATCTTGGAAATTTGGGCCAAGGTCAAACCAAGATCTCC